TTTTAACATGCTACTATATTTCTATTTTTTAGACTTGTTCACAGCACATGGAAGGTGCTTAAGAAGTACTTCTTGAATAAAATGTATGAGGAAAAGTGGGAATCTTGATTCTCTAATTTCTTACTTAAATTATTGGCATTTGTATAGAATTGATATTAGCCTTAGGAGATAGATTTTTTTCCCCATTTCAGGCTTAAGATGGTTTAATTTTTAAATTTCTTCTTCTTGCCTGTGGCCATACCTGGTTACATGTAGAAATAAAATCACTAGAATAAGCGAGTTGCAGATCATTTGGAGCAATCCTGGGGAGGAAGAAGCATATTCAAGGAAGTGTTGAAGACTTGGAAAAAAGCCCTGAGTGCACTCACTTTGCTAATGTAAACAGGCCCGTTCCTGGATCAGAATCACACCTGTGTCTGTGCCTTTGTCTTATCTATTTTAATACAAGGATCTCTGTAACAGGAGGGTTTGCCAAGGGTGAATGTGACCCTCCAAGGCCATGTGTTGAAACTTCATCCCCCGTGCAGCAGTGTTGAGAGATGAGACCTTCCAGATATGACAGGTCATCAGGGCCCTGCCCTGTGAATGGCTCCATCTTGTCACCAGGAGTGGGGTCCACATTAAAGTCTGAGTGTAGCCCTCTTCCTCCCTCTCCATCACGTGCATGCCCTTTTGCCTCTGCCTTCCAAGCCTTTGGATCTATAAGAGAGAAATCTTACTCTAAATACATCCAGTCTCAGATATTCTGTTATAGCAGCAGAGAACAGACCAATACAGAAACTGTGACCAAAAGGTATGGCTTTGCATATCACAATAAGTAAAGGGCATGTTTCTGAAAATGTAGCTTTTGGTTGTGACTTTGGTAGTAGGTAGTGAGTGGAAGCTGGTAGAACTTGAAGGAGAAAGCTAGAAAAATATTTCTGTTACAGGAATTTTAAGGGCGATTCTAGTGAGGACTTGGAAGACAGGAGCCTGTATCATATTTGGGTTAATGATGTTTTAGTCAGTGATATGCGATGATAGTGCCCTATGTTACAGTGGAGCTAAAAAAGTCATGTCCCTGATGATGTGGCTGCCAGAGGCTGTAGCACAACACATTGCTCATGTGTTTGTGGCATTGCTGGTGTTGACAGACCTGTTGCACTGCCCCCATGTAAGAGTGCAACAATCCAATTATGTGTAGTGCCTGCTACTAGCAAATGACAATAGATGACTAGGTTACTGGTTCATGACTGTGCTGTGCTATAATGCAGCATCTTATAGCTTACTCCTATTTACTGAAAAATGTCTGTAGCCTCAGACATCTCATGTTTACCAGGTCTCTGGACACACCTGGCCTGGCCAGGTATGAGTTTACACCTCATCGGGAGGCCCTCTGAGGGCCTGACTTTGCCATCTAGGTTTGTGTATGCGCCCTCTAGGACACACACAGCAACACGGCCTAATGATGTACTTCTCCAGGTGTGTCTCTGTCTTCAGGTAATGTGTCACTGTACTCAGAGCTCATGGTCAAAATGTTAATAGAAGTTAGAAATGTAGACAGTAAAGACCATGCTCATAAGGTTTCACACAGACATGAGAGAAAAGGCATTGGAAACCAGAGTGAAGATCATCCTTCTTACACAGTTGTTGAGGACTTGTTGGAATTCTGTGTCCTAGAACTTTGTAGAAGGCAGAACCTAAGAGTGATGAACTAAGATATCTGATGAAAGAAATATCTAAGCAGCAAAGTATTCAAGGCACATCATGGCTTCTGTTGATCACTTACAGTAAATTGAGAAAAGAGAAATTATTTAAAAGTGGGATTTAGAATTAAAATGAAAGCAGAAGGCAAAGATTCAGAAAACTTTCAGTGTGGCCTTGTAAAGAATAAAAAAGGAAGTTTAGAAGAGACTACTAAGGCTGGGGCCAAGTGGCGGTTGGCTAAGGAGATGAATCTGGCTGGAAGAGAATCCCAGTCATCGGGTCAATGGGAGAAGGGTGCTGAGGGTAGGTTTTCTAGAGCAGTGAACCCATAGAACAGTGATGCTGAACAAACGTGCCACAGCCAGCTGTTTATCATCATTAAAAGCTCTAAAAGGTTCGCCATCACTGCCATAGGACCTCAGCACTCACTGCCCTGCACTCAGGACTCTGCTCCCCCAGTTCTGGCACAGTGCCTCTCAGCTGTCCTGGCTGTGGCTCAGGTGGGCCCCAGTATGTCTCAGCCCACTGATCTGGGAGGTACAAGGCATAAACCCTCCTTCAATCGCTAGATCCCCCATTTGCAAAAGGTCTATCTCCCTATATGCTGTTATCTATCTTTTCTTTTGCTCTGTAAGTTATTCACACTTTGAGTTTCTCTTATAAGAGTAACTATGCAATATTTAAGCTTGTGTGTCTGCTTTATTTCACTAAGCATTATGGTCTCATGATATATCTATTTTCCTACAAATGATTCAAATCTATCATTCTTTATGGTTGAGTAGTACTCCATTTCTTTTTCTATTCATCTGTTGATGGATATTCAGGCTGCTTCTAAGATTTAGCTATGGTAAGTTGTGCTGCTAGAACATGTGTATTCATGTATCACTGTAATATAATGTCTCTAACTCTTTTTGGAAGACCCCCTGAAGGGGAAGAACTGGGTCGAATGGAACTTCTAATTTCAGTTTTTTGAGAAATTTCCATACTTATTTTCATAACAGTTGCAATAGTTTACATTCTTACTAACAATGTAGAAGGGTTCCTTTTTGTCCTGCAGCTTACTAGCATTTGTTCTTTTTTGAGTTCTTGATGATAGCCACTCTTTATGAAGTAAAGTGGAATTTCAGTATTATTTTAACATGCGTTTCTCTAATGGCCAAAGATGTTGAACATTTTTTCATGTATGTATTGGCCATTTATATTTCCTCTTCTGAGAAGTGTCCATTCATTTCAGTTGCCCATTTTTATTGGGTCTTTTATTTGGGGGACTCTAGCTTTTTGAGTTCTTTATACATTCTAGATATTAGTCCTCTGTCCAGAGAGTCACTGGCAAAATTTTTTCTCATTTTGTCGACTATCTCTTCACTGTTTTCCTTTGCTTTGCAGCTTTTCAGTGTGATATAATCCCATTTGTTGATGCTTGGTGTTATTTCTTGTGTAATTGGGGTTCTGTTCAGAAAGTCCTTGCCTACACCTGTGTCTTCAAAAGTTTTACCTATTTTATCTTCCAGAAGATACAGTATTTCTGCTTTAATATTTTTATCTTCAATCCATTTTGATTTTATTTTAGTGCATGGTGAGAGATGTGAGCCTACATTCAATGTTTTGCATGTGGGTATGCAGTTTTCCAAGCATCATTTGCTATCTTTTCACCAGCATGTGTTTTTGGTCCCTTTCTCAGACTAGATATCTACGTGCCTGGGGTTGTTTCTGCATCCTCCTTGTATTTCATTGATTCGCATGTCATTTTTGTGAGTACTATGCTGGGATTTTTTTTTATCACTTATAGCTTTGTAATATAGTTTATATGTCTGCTTTATTTCACTGAGCATTATGCCCTCATGGTGCATCTATTTTCCTATAAATGACTCAAATTAGCCATTTTTATGGCAAAATATTACTCCATTTCTTTTTCTGTTCATCTGTTGATGGATATATAGGAGATCTATGATTATAATGCTTGGCTCTTGTTGCCTAGGATTGCTTTTGCTATTCTGGTGTTTTTCTGGTTCCATATAAATTTTTTGATTGCTTTATATAGTTTTGTGAGGAATGCTGTTGGTATTTTGATTTGGGTTCCATTAAATCTATAAATCTATAAAGCTTTGGTAATATGGCCATTCTGGCAACATTAATTCTGCCTAGCCAGGAATAGGAAATGTCTTTCCATTTTTCTGGTATCCTTTTTGATCTTCCTGTTCAGAGTTCTAAAGTTTTCATTGCAGAGTTCTTTCATTTCCTTGGTTAAAGCAATACTTAGGTATTTAACATCTTTTTTTATGCTTCAAATGCAAAATATTTATTACACAAAAAAGTAATAACTGACAAACTACCAATATGTTGAATTTAGAAAAAGTACTAAGTTATTTTGTAACTCTTTTTAAAAAAAGACATATTTGTATTATTCAAGCTAACTTACTTCCAAGTTACAAAATTTTGGTTTAAAAAATGCTTCTCTATGACTGCCTCAATTTATTTTGCTATGCCCTGACAAAAACAAAGTATCTTTGAAATGCTTTGGGTATTTAAATGGATGTTCGTAACATACATTTATATAAATAACTTTTGTATCAGTAACAGGCCAACATATACCCTCCCTAAACACCCTTTTAGTAGAAACAGGAACCATTAATGATGCAGAATACAACTTACAGTACCTCTCAATTTACATACAGCACAATAAGCAATCTGACTAGGCTAGTGATATTTAAAGAATATCGTTAGTCATGCTCTGCTGGCATTACTGAATATGGTAGTACTCTCATCAAATGAATAGTACTTCCATTATCTCATATTTTCCTCTATATTCCTTGTCTCCAGGTTGGAATAGCCATGTGGGATATGTAGAAGTGGCCCAGAGCCTGTTGGTTCTATGCTTTTGCTTCATTCTTCCCAACCTTTGGTAGATTTGTAAAGCCTAGAGGGAACTCTATTAACATTATTTTTGAACTTTTCCTTTAATTTTGCCAATCTTCTTTGTTTTTCTGCCTTTCCTCTTCTTTTGCTTGCCTATCTAGAATTTTCAATTCAAGTTTATATAAATCTCTTTCTTGAAACCTGGAAATTTCATCAGCAACAGTTTTCCTTTTTTCTGCCTTTTCTGCCTTAAAAAATTCTTGTTCTTTCTTCTTCTGGGTGTAATTTTCTAATAGTAATTTTAGTTTAAGCCGGCATTGGCATTCTTTCTGCTGCTTTTTCTCTTTCTCTTCCTCTTCTTTTAACTTAGAAGCATATTTCATTGACAGTTCTATACTTTTCTGTTTTTTCCAAGCTTCAACTGCCAACTTTTTCACTTTCTTTCTTCCTTCCTTTTTCTTTCTTTCTTTCTGTCTTTCTTTTTTTCTTCCTCTCTCTCTCTCTCTCTCTCTCTCTCTCTCTCTCTCTCTCTTCCTTCCTTCCTTCCTTGCTTTCTTGCTTTTGATTACCTTCTGGTTTATTATGAAAAACCATAGGAATGTTGTCTGCCTTCTCTTTTAACTTGAAAATTTCTTGCTTCTTTTGCTGCTTTTTAGTTTTCCAATTCTGAATAGACCCTTTTTTGCCTTTCTTCTAGAGTCAGAAATTTCTGATACCATTTCTCATGCTGTTGAACTTCATCCTGCGTTCTCCCCGGGAGGTGTTCTAGAGCTTCCTTCATAAATGCAGGCTTCCCTTTATGTTTATTTCTCACTTTTATAAAATTCTGGTGATCATAATTATCCCAGCCCCCCTGTTGCCCTCCTGTTTGCTGCAGGAATTTTTCAAAATCTACCACTACTGTTGGAAGAGTATTGGGTGTCATTTTGTCTACAGAAACTTTACTTGAGATTGCTCTGAAAACTTTCTCTGTTTCTGAATTACCCACAGCCCATGTATCAATTTTTCTTGATATGGGACTCAATTCATTCTTTGTTGTTTTTTCTTCTTTAATAAGCTCATTGCATATCAGTCTTTGTTCTTCTTTAAAAGTGTTGATTGCATTTTCAATTTCTTCCATCATTTCTCTGAGCTTTTCAACAAAATCAGGTGTAGGCTTCACATCTTTTAGCTGATGCTGAAGTTTCTTTACATTGTTATGTATTTTGGCCAATTGTTGCTGGATTTTTGCTCTTTCCATTTTTCTGCTGTTAATCAATTTATTTTCCGATTCTTCCAGCATACTGTGCTCAATTCTGAAGTCATATTTTTGGTTGTAAAAATGACTGTGTTTATCTTTTTCTATAATAATAACTTGATTTTTAAATTTTTCTGCTGTGCATATGAATTCTGCTTTCTTTGTTCAACTAACTTTCTGCTTCTAGTGTTAAAGTTGAAAAGGATGAATTCCACCCGAAGTACTAAAACAGCCATCATTCTGTTGCAGCGTGGTGCCACTCCCACACTATTTAACATCTTTGAAGCTATTGTGAATGGTATTGTTTTCTTCATTTTTTTTCTCAGGATGTTCATTGTTGGTGTATGGGAATACTATTGATATTCATCTATTGATTTGTATCCTGGTCCTTTGCTGAATTTATTTATTAGTTCTATTAGTCTTTTGGTGGAATTCTTTGGGGCCTTCTACATACAGAATCATATCCTCTGCAAATAATGATAGTTTGATTTCTTTGGTTCTTATGCACATCATTTTATTTCTTTCTCTTGCCTAATAGTTCTGGCTAAAGTTTCCAGTACTACAGTGGTACCTCGCTTCACAAACTTAATTCTTTCCACAATTCCGGTCGCAAACTGAAATGGACCAGAACTGAAGATTTCCCCTTAGGTCAACATTGAACCTAATCACTGAATTTGATTCAGTTCTTTTTCAATTCAGTTTGCAACCAGAATCATGGAAAGAATTAAGTTTATAACATGTGTAAATACCGAGTAGTTTCTCTGATGTGAAAAACTAAAAGTGTAAATAGGAATCAAAATGTATAATTGGTATTGTGAAATAGGAAGAAAATGTTTAAAGGAATAGAGGAAGTGGGAGGGGAAGGGAAAAGGAAAGAATGGAAAAGGAAAAATATGGAAACAAAGTCTTTGTAAATAGGGAAGGGTGGAGGGGGTGAAGGGAGGGCAGGGGAATGGGGAAAAAATAAAAACCAAGAT